ATGGTGCTCTTTCCTATAAATGCAAATGGAACAAAAATACTACACAAGTAAAACACGTGACTTATGTGCTATTTTTAAGGCTCCTGAAGCCATTGTGCGAGGAGCACACTGAAATTTAAGTCTCATATTCAAACTTGATTAATAAGTCATACAGGTTTAGACAATCATGAGGGTGACTTATTAATTTCTGAAGTACCTTCTTCATTGTGGATCTGCCTGAGCATCTGATGGTGATGTTACAGTAAGTACAGTGCAGAGAGTGATGCATGTTGGCTGCAATGAGAAACACTCATAAATAGATCTAAATGCACACATACAGTGTAAACACATGTGCACATGTAATCAACATTGCAATATGAAAGCACTACATGATCTCCAGAGCACACATGCAGCAGTCTTGAGCTTCACTGCGACCTGCATGGGCAGCAGCGTGAATGTGTTTGCGTGTATCAAAGCACAGCTGATATGGCATACATGCAGAGGTGTTTGACAGGTCGTGAGTAGATTTCCTAAGGTTTTGGACCTCCTCAGTGCCGAAGTGTGTAATTTTATCAATGCTAAAACAAACACGTTCTCATATCCCAGATTAATAATGAGAGACTTTGTGAGTTAAATCCTGTGTCTCTGTGAAACATTGATCTGGTGGTTTGAGCATCATGACCAGCCCAACACTACAATGATTTAACCAATGCAATTATTTTTGCACTTACATTTTGGTGACAAAATTACACATTTCAATGTAAAACTACAACTTGCAATTCTTGCATTCAGTTTTGCAAATTCAGGGATTTTTTTTTTTTTTAGCATAAATATTTCTGTAATGCTTTCCAAAAACAGCATGTCTGATATTTAAAACATTTTCACAGACGTCATTTGACGCTCATATAGGGTTTTCACAATAACAAACGATGTTCAGTAATTCGCTCTGACAGATTCAGTGAGCTCTTAGTTCGTTCGGTGAATGATTCATTATGTTGATTCAAACCAAAAAGGATTTGAATCTTTTTGATTCATTATAAGAACCATCACAGGAATCACATGACTGGAAAGAGTGTCAGTACACCGGTAGGTCGTCGGCATGAGCGAGATGTGTTGGTGATGATATGATGATGTTTTCATTTACACGGAGCAACCTGATGAAGCAGACATTAACCTGAAAGCTGAATCACTGTCTGCTGTTTGCCTGTGATCCAAAGCAGAGAATCTAGCAACATGAACATCAGTGTAATGCAATCAATCTCTCTCTTTCTGTCTGTCACAGGATGGAGATTATTGGGCATTCACGCAGCAGACGGACTCCAGACGTGAGCTGCACAGCTGAATTGCTAACATGAGATGTTTGTTATCTTGCATGCTCACATGTGTGTGTATATGCAAAGGACAAATATAAGATCATGTACATAAATCGCATTCAAACACACACACACACACACACACACACACACACACAGAGTTACGGAAAGATGTCAATCGTATTAACACACACAAAAAACTTGCTGGACCTTCATAGCTCTACAACTGTATAAAACAGTATTGTTTTTCATACAAAATAAATAAATAAATAAAAATAATAAATAAAAAAGGAGAAGACCAGCCAAAGTAAATGACCATAATCAGATTTAAATAATTAAGCTTAAAATAAACTATGTAAAAAAAGAAAATAAGAATAGTTGCATTAAAGCAAAAGACGATAGTTACAGTATTATTATTGCGGTATTATTGTAAGAAAAACATCTTAAAATTTCTACTTTTTCATTATAAATGTGGTGTAAGGGGACTCAGGAATTTCTGGGCACGTTTTAATATTTTATCTTTTTATTTATCTATTTATTATATTTGGAAAACTTGGTTTGGAGTCTCTTGGTTTTCAGTGTTTTTTAGAGAACTACATTAAAACAATTGTAAAACTTTGTAACTTATTGAAATGTGAATTACAATGATGATATTTATGTCTTAAATTTTTTGATCAAACCTTTGTTCCTGATTTAAATCAAATAAAGGTATTAAAAAATCAAGGTCTGTCATGTTTTATGTGTTAATATACGTGGATCGAGGTCTGTGTGCGTCAGAGAGATGGTTTGTGTTGTACTGGTGTAGATACTGAGATTCTTATATTTCACAGCAATGAACCAGACACTTATTTGACAGATGCATTATATACACATACTCGCTTCAGTGTTCAGGACTGACACGAGCATTTGGAGAATGAGTTCAGTAAACATGCATAACTCTATAGCCTACCTAACAGAGCCGGGAATCAAAAACTTAACTCTAACCATTTCACCATTTACTCCTTTGATCCAGCTCTATGCAAAGCATGCTGGGAACTAAAACCGTATGTTTAGATAATATAACACTATATGTTGATATAATGTCAATTAATATTGTTGAAAGTTTTTATAACTTACTGAGCACAAGACAAATCTCACCAGCAAGGGTGCAGTGTGCTGGTGCCGACACCAGATGGAAACAACACTCACCGAGCTGAAAAGCCTGCAGTGGTGAACCTTTGTAGTTGAGAGGAAACTGAATGGTAAAGGGCATTTCTGTCATCTTTGTTTCACTGTGTGTGGCTGCCAGAGAAACTCATCTTCACTGATGATCACGCCGCTGCTGATGGAGGCAGAAAAATGAGCCTTAGCTGCTCAAGTTTAAGCAAATGTCTCAAAACTTCATTCGGCGCTTCAGAATTAATGCATTACATTCATACCTTACATACATCATGAAGGGCAATGTATTTTATGCATTTTGGCTCTTTAAAAAAAACATAAATATTAAAATAATATCATTTTTTTAATAATTTTTACACTTCGCTGCTGGCTTAAATGTGACAAAAACCAGATTCAAATAAATTTTTAAGGCCCCTTTATGACGACCTTTATGACCTTTCAGATGGAATAGTGTATGGCATATACAGAAGGTTGGACTGTTTGACGAATTTTTTGCATATTAGAGAAAATCCCTGATTCTCATCATAGGACCAACACTGGAAAGCTTGGAATCATCAAGAAAAGAAACAAAAGTCAAAAATGTACTACTTTATAAGTAAACATCTCAGTCAGGAGCACCCGATTAATAAGCAGAAAACTATTTCAGTAAAAATGTACAGAAACAAACAATCGAAAGACATCGGCTATTCAATTCAGAATTATTGTTGTTGTTGTTTCTTAAGGTGTACAATACATTGTTTTTTTGTTTGTTTGTTTTTTCATGTACTGCACAATAACCATCACATCCAATCGGGAAAATTTCCATCTGGTTTATAAGACTTGTTTCAGTTGTGAACAGCTTTTTTATTTTATTTTATTGAATCAGTTGGGTGAATGATTCAATTACTCACTCAAAGGACACAAAAAGGCACTTGTCGCCACCTACTGGAGTAAGGGCAGAAATACACTTTATTCAGCTCACTGAAGCCTGTCCTCCACTGACATCCACTCCAAACAGGCCTCTAGTCTCTTGCCAGTACCACCAGTTGTGTCCTGACCTCAGAGGAGGTCAGCGGTGGGGCTCTGCTGAGATCACAGAAGAATCCTTTATTTTTCATTGGCCAACATTCGCAGGGCTCGTATTTTGGAATGTAACATCAGGCAGTCCTGAAGTGGTGAAGTGACACTGTGAGAAGGTGTAGGCCTACTATCATTTTTAAGTGAAACTGGTCTGTGGAAACCAGCAGTTTCCTTTTTGAGAGCTATCCAAAATAAAAGACAAGACTGGTCATATACTAGATTTTGGATTTTTTTATTTTTATTATGTAATGCAACATCAGACATTCCTGACATTGACTGAGTGAAACCCTGGGGTGCTGGACTGTTGATCTGAATTTAAATCGGTCTGTGGAAACAGGGAGTTATCCAAAATCACAGAGAACAGGCAGAATATGAGTTTTTGGAGGGCTTTTATTTTGTAATGGGACATCAGACAGTGCTGACAT